ACAGATGCCTCTATTGGCCCTTGGAAACGAGCAATTTGGGCATTCGGATCATAGCTGAGATCTCATTTGAAGCATTTAACATACCATGCTTCCCCTGCCTTTCCATCTCAGTGCTGCTGCATCAGGTGATTCCGTCTTTTCCTGATCTATTAAGTCTGAATCACAGTCATGATCCAAATTGGTTCCGGCACATTCCTGCTTCACAGCACAGGGCAGTGAGTGGTGCCAAAGCTCAACTGTCACAGGACTTCACAAGCTATGTGCTTCTTAAGCTGCAATGAGCTACGATTATCAACCTGATCTAGGTTTCGTGGAAGCATTTAGGAGCCAAAGCTGTCTCAAATTGTGGAAGTTGAGTAGTTGAAAAGATTTCTTCTGCAAACAGCCATCGCCCCGTCCCCCGCAAAAAACAAAACAAAAACACATCTTGCTAGATTATTACCGGTATTTTTGTTTTCCATTACTTCCTTGCAGGAAGAGGGAGCCTGACCTTAGCGCCTGCTCCATATTCTGGAGTGGGCTTCAAAAATGACTTTAAATTTGCTCTCTAGATTTAAATGGCCGCCTTTTGAGTCTTCACTCAAAACATTTACAAGGGCACCCTTATGGGGTTCACATTTTCTCCTAAGCCTATTTAATTTCCTACTTAATTTCCACAACAACTGCACGCTGTACACTTTGGATGTGAAGCCTTGTCATCAAACAACAGGGGCACAGGGGTGGGTCAGGGGAAGGAAAAAGGCAGGCGTTATGGAAATGGTGGTACAGAAATTTAATAGAAGAAAGGCATGCCAGAGAGACAGATGGGGAGATGGTAGGAAGAGACTGCAGAGTGGAAGACACGAGAGAAGGCAAAGAGCTACTGTTCAATGGTTGAACACGTTTTGCCTGCAGAAGGTTCAAATAAGGCTGTGAATGCTAAGCTAGATGGGTCAATGATCTGTTTAAGGCAGCTTTCTATTTTGCTAAGGGAGCACTTGCAAAGATTCTCCCAGTGCTCACTGACTGGTTAGCTAGGAGGCAGAAGGGGAGAGGAAGCTTCTATGTAAGAACATAAGAAGAAGTCCTGGATCAGACTAAAGGCCCATTTAATCCAGCATTCTGTTCTCATAGCGGCCTACCACATGCCTATGGGAAACCCACAAGCAGGATAGGAACACAGTAATACTGGAATTTACCAGCCAAAATCTTTGCTGCAAGCCTCTCTCTCTCTAAACTTGCACAATCTTCAGTGGTAATTAAAACTACACTATCTAAACCCAAACTTAAATTAAATCTGGTGAGCTAGTTTTAAATCTTTTGATATTTTGACCTGCCTGCTGTCTTTGCCTAGCACTTCCACTTGCTGGCAACTAAATTCCTATAACTGTGCACAGAGAAAACACTGACACTTTCCTTAGTTTCTTACCTTTTTCAGGAGCTTGTAGAAAAGGTGATAGCATACAGAGACTGTAAGAATATTGGAGTAATCGAAGGTTCTTTTCAGGTTCTTTCAAGCCTACCAATTCTAAGATCATTGAGGAATGTCTGCTTCTTAAAACATATAAGGCTTAATGTACAAACAGCTCTCACAATAGAAGTTTCAGTTGCATATGAAGCCCTTTTTCCTTCACACTTTGGAATCACCATGATGGAATCCAGTCCTTGTACAGCAGAGAATCGTTTCTATCAGTATGGACCTAGGAACCATTCTGATATAGCGTGCAATAATGTGAATTGTATATACAGCATTCTTCACTTAAAGTTTGTGAAGATACGCAAAGAAACACAAGTGTTCTCACAAGTTTAAATAACTTTATTTTTAACATTTCACAAGGATGAAGGTCTTCGTAAAAAAACCAAAAACCCAATGGAATTAAGTACCAAGAGTAACAAGGCAGAATATAAATATACATTCAGATCCTTCAACATTAAGCACTGAGCAAATGTTTGCACAAGGGGAAATATCCCTCACAGTGTACCACACTTTTCACAAAATTCAGCATTTCGATGTCAGGATTGCGTAAGTCACAGATACCAATTAGAAGGCACAGAATGCAAGCTATCCTTGCTGTGTATTGCCCAAATTTCATCATAATGTATACAACTGAGCAGACCTTTATATGAAGAATGGTCAGCAGATTTGGGCCCAGTGAGAATACTCCCTCTTGCATGTGGCACATTGTGTTGCCAGCTACAGCCCTGTGGTCTCTGGAAATTTTAGGTCAGGTTATAAACTAGAAGATTTTCACAATCTGCTGGAAGCTGGTCCTGTACTATTTCTATTAAAACGGTCAACACTATTTGTTACTAGATCCATTCCTACTGAATATGTATTAAACACAAATGTCCACTGTACTTTGGGACCATATAACCATCAGGAATAAACATTTTCTAGTACACAGTAAAACTGTATTTCAATAAAATACTTGTTCCCAAAAGCATGATCCTGTGTGCTTACGGCTCCAGCAGGAGCAAAGAGACATTAAGCCTCTTAAAATAAAGTTTTTAAAAAGCAATTTGGTTCATTTAAATGAGATATACTAGCTTACAAAAGATGCCCAAACATCTAGATGCTGGTTTTACACGCAAGAAGTTTGCCTTTACAGACTTTATGGTTCAGCTATTATGGAGCCACAGATATGTGAAAACACCACAGGCCCTGGACATTTTAGATACGGTAGACAACAGTTCCTCCTCTTTCAATCACCTGAATTCATTGACCTAGTTGAGGCAAGGTGACAGCATCAGCCAGAGGATTTCATCAAGAGAATTGGCACTATGCAAGAAGATAGAGAAATCTATTCAACAAGCACCACACTTCCTGTAGGGCAACAGGAACATGGAGTCCAAGCTCACAGTCCAAGTCTTATATTCAAACCTTACAGTATTAAATTTTTCTACCAACCTCCAAACTATGTACTTAGGGCTCTCATTGCATAAATATTGCCGTGTCAAATGAGGAATAAACTAGAGGAACCACTTAGCTGTTCCTATTCTTTGGTGTTTGCAAATGAGATAGTACAGTATCATGAGCAATTAAGAGTGCACCATTCAGGAAACGTCAAGATCTATGGGTGATATCCGATCATGTCATACTAAGAGCAGGCCCACAACAATCAACAGTCATTAGTCATTGATTACAAGAGGTCTACTCCCATGTATGACTTGCTTAGAATCAACCCCTCTTTGATTACCTGAGAAGTCTATAATCCAGTGTTGTGACTGAATACAAAGGGAGGGCTGAAGAGATATTCAGTGCCAAGCTCATCCCTCTTGAAAGTGCATAGGCAGAAAATGAAGAATGGCTACAGTCAAAAGCATGAAAATTAATCGGTCCACGTCTTCAGACATCACTTTGATTGCTGTTTGGTTGCCTGCATTTGTAGCTCAGATTTTCAACAATATATATTTTTAATCACAGTTGATCTGACTGGAAGCCAAAAGTGCATATACAAGCTTCAGCTTGCAAAAAGCCATGCTCTACCTTATAGTTGCTATCTTCAAATAGTTCAGTTTCCCATACAATGGTCAATATGGATTTCACCCCAAATGCCTAGTGATGGTGGATGTATTGTTTTATTAGGGAACCTACAAAAGTTAATCCTTTGGAAACTTTAAACTCATATACTGGGCAAGTGCCCCATCCAGAGTAAGGGACCACAATGTAAAGTTACCTTTTAAATTAAAGGGCAGATGGAGATACTGAAATTAAGAATTCAATCTTCAACCCAGGACAAAAATCCATAAAAAACCATAAAATCAGAAAAAGTCTCCAGTTTTTTTAGTCTGCAACAGAAATCATATTGCAGTAATTCTGACTATTCACATCTTCCAGCAATTTATGCAGCAGCATAAACAGAATCTTTTGTAACTGAGGAAAGTGTCGTCTGACTACAGAAACTGTTCATACAGATAGAGAAACTGGAACCAAAACAGGCACAGCGAGACACTGCACACATACCGCTTTGTGCTAAGCCTCTCTTATAGCGTTGAGAAACATGTGGTCATCCAGATACCTCTGGGCTCCCAATGGCCATCCTTGAGGAGGATGGGAGTCGAGTCCATGCACATTGGGAGGGCCAGATTCCCTATGCCTGCCCTACTTATTCCTCCTAGTTGGTTTGAGCTACAAGGCAATACATTCAAAAGCTGCTCAAAGGTAGAGCAGAGACATTTGGAACTGCAAAGGAACGAAACATATAATAAAGAAACTGGGCATAAACAAGATAAGATCAACGTTCTCTAATCAGGAATTTCTGAAACAGAAAAGATGTGGAAAGAAGTATTACACAAAAAACTTGGGAAAACAGAGGGAAGCTACGTACTTTAGCTGACCGTAGAAATGTGTTTTTATCTGCATTTCAACCCTTTCATAATAATAATAAGAAAAACTTCTTTATCAGCATGTTGAGGAACTGGTCAAAAATGAAACTTTTACAATCGAAAGTATTCACAAATGGAAAGACACCTGGGATTATTGAATCAGAGAAATTTGTTCAGTCTCTTTGATTCAATATACTCAGATGGCTTTCCTGTATTAAAAAATAAAGATCTAAGCAGACTTCTGAACAGAGGGGTAACATACCCAAAGACAAAAGGGAAAGATCAGCAATTCAAAAGTAAAGTTAAGAACGAAAGAAAAGTAATCAAATCTGTGAAATAAGAATAAAGATGCTTCTATGGAACAAACATATTAAAAGTAAAAATTTCAATGACGAGGGATTAATGTGTACCTCCAAAGTCAGCTACTGAAAACCCACAGGTTTGAGCATTTTAACACCTATGAGGAAATACAGGGGGACTGCCCCTCTCGTCTAACTGTACTTAAAGCAACCAGCTGCAATGAAGCAAGCCAGCCAGACTGCCGCTTCTGGCAATTAGTTTAAATCAGTATTGCTTTCAAAAGTTTAATACGTCCTGTACTGACTACCATAAGACACGGAAGTCAGTTTAGTGCTTAGAAGCTAACCTCCTCTTACTCAAATGACATTTCATTTTGATAGTGGTATCACGGCACTCCAGCAGGGTTTGCTCGCACAAGCACCATCACTTTTTATTTCTTAACTATGGATCTTCCTCACTTCCCAAAGGCAAATGCAGGCAATTTTGCACAATTGGCAGGAAACCTGCACAGCTTAAGCCCCACCCAAATGAATGAGCTGTTTTCTTAATAATTACTGATTCAGTGGAGCTAGAACAACAGAAATTCCTAATGGACTGGGCTGCTTGTATGCAGAGAGGCAACCAGCTTTCAGGTGGAAGTGCTTATTTCCCAGGAACTCAAATCCAAACAAGGTACTTCATAAATATTTATTCATCCAGTATATCTAATGTAAATATGATTGCTTATATTGCACTAAAACTTAATATCCTAAAAGAGTCAAGAAATCAGGAGTTGAAAAACTACAGAGAAGTGTTCATTTTTTGACTAAACCCTTAAAAATGTGCCCCTTGGAGCTTATTCACAGATAAAATCTGGCTCACAACTCCTTCCACAGTCCCATAATTTCAGGCCTTTCACCTGCGGAGCAGCAAAACATGTACAGTGTACTAAAAGGTAAAATGTGTTTTTTTAACACTATTGACTTTGTAGATTATGTAAGGCAGTCTTCAAGGTAAGTCAACTCTATCCTAAGACAAGTAAATAATAATCTGTTTCGGTACAAGCAGCTTTTCCACATTCACTACTTCCAAAGTTTGAGTAAGAAAGCCACTGATTAGGTGAAATTGGTTCTTTCACATCTTTCCAGCTTTCTTATTCACGTGAGCTTGAGCTCGAAGAATGTTAGGGGTTTCCTCCATAACTCTGACAAGCAAGTTATCAATGTAGTCTTCCAGCTCCCGCACCTGCTGATCTCGCTTTGCAATCACATCTTTCTGCTTCAAGACCAGCTGGATCAGCTCGCTGTGTGTCAGCTGACCATAAGCATAGGCGGGATCTGAAGGATCATATTTCTTTAGGAAGGAAGAATGAACAGGTTAAAGTCATTTTGATATCAAGCACTGTTGCAAGGGTGGCGTCAAAGGATCAGAAGGAAGGTATAGAAACCTTTGGTTTCAGGGATTACTGGGGAATCCCAGGAATGATTTCAGAGCAAAGAGGTCATCTGTCAAAGCATCTTAAAAGCTACTGAAGATTCACCAAAAACTAGAATTTCAGGATTTGCCAGTAAGTACTTTTATGGCATGCAAACAAATGTGCATACAAGGTTTCTGTACACCTGCCTTCAACTATTTCTTCCCAGTAATAAACATGGAAAAGTGAAGATAAGACCCTCCTCATAACATGCAAAAAGTACTAAATAAATACAAAGCAGCAGCAGTAGTGGTTGTTTCAGTTAAGTGATAATAATTCAGGTTTTGTGCTCAAACACCAAACAGATCATTTGCAATATTAGTTGGAGGCACTAAATCACTAAACCTTGCTTATCTGAAAACAAAAATCCCTTTCAGGCCAAAGTCCTTTGGTGAAGATAGCAAGTTTTGAGCCTGGGGAATTCATACCCACTCACAGATCTAAACTTGTGTCAGTAAAAGGGTCAGAAAATTGCCCAGATGGGTAGGATAGCATGGGCAGGGGGAATCGTACAACTAGAAAACGTGAACACATTTCTGTCTCCAAATGACTATACCCCTTTGCAGTTTGTCTAATCCCGCCAATAAATTTACAAGCTTCCTAACTCAAGGCACAGACCACCCAATTAGGTTTTAAAATATAGTATGTCTTAAATTACCTTTATGTCGGCTTCATTTTGGTTATCCAAGATCTTTGATGTTATGCTCTGGTTTTTTGCAGATGATTTGCTTGTTGTAGTATGCATTGGTTTCACAGGATGAAGTCTGAAAGAAGCACACACAATTAGTTCAGGCAATCCTATAGTACTTTGTACCTGAACAATTTTGTGCAGTTCTACTTTTGGTCTGAAGGGACACGGGTGGTGCTGTGGGTTAAACCACAGAGCCTAGGACTTGCCAATCAGAAGGTTTGCGGTCGAATCCCCGCGACAGGGTGAGCTCCCGGTGCTCGCTCCCTGCTCCTGTCAACCTAGCAGTTTGAAAGCACGCAGTGCAAGTAAATAGGTAACGTTCTGGCGGGAAGGTAAACGGCATTTCCGTGCGCTGCTCTGGTTTCGCCAGAAGCAGCTTAGTTATGCTGGCCACATGACCTGGAAGCTGTACGCCGGCTCCCTTGGCCAATAAAGTGAGATCGGCCAGAGTCGACCACAACTGGACCTAATGGTCAGGGGTCCCTGTACCTTTACATTTGGTCTTGCATGAAGCACTGCATGCACACATGTTCCTGCTTTGGCTTCTAAAAAGAATAAAGTACATTTTCCTCTTCTACGTACCTCTATTAGTGCAAGTTTAGATTTTATATTTAATGTTAAAACAGAAGATTTATTCTGCCCTCCTCTCTACACTTCAAGACTGATTAAGAAGCTCTCAAATGAAAAGTTTTACTTACCTATTTATTTATTTATATCCCTTCAAGGACTTTGAATACATGCCCCCCCTCCATTTTCCTCACTACCACCCTGCTGAAGTAGGTTAGACATAGAGATAAGAGACTGGCCCATCACTGAGTGAAATCCTAGTCTGACGCTCTTGATGGTTCTAAACATCTGTTCCTCCCCCCCCCCCCAATAAAATATGGTTGGTTCCTTGGATATTTGTGCAGTTACCCAGATGTTTAGCAAGTGTGAAAAATAGAGTTTTCAACAAAGTTTATTGCAAAAGTTTGCCCTGATTTCTTTTTTAGTTAAATTACATCCGTGGAACACTTCAGAAATCTAGGTAACACGAAACCTGTGCCGCAGTAAATTGCATTGCACTTATGATCACAACTAACACCGCTTTTAAAAAAAGTTAAGCATTTATCCAACTGCTGCTTTCACTTATTTTGGCAGAACATGAAAACTATATTTAGTATTTTAACAGGACAGTGGGTTTAAAAAATAAAGTAAAATTAGAGGTAAAATATGAAGTGCTGGTTCCTGTTTATGATACCTTTATTGTCATGTCACAGCAATGTGAAAATAGAGTCTGATTACTGCCTAAGCAAAACAAACCTTTGCTCAGTTTTATTCCTTCATTGACATTGCTACAAGAAATAGATACAGATCAACAGGGAAAGATTTTCACCTGTCCATAGGACACAAAGTCCCTTACTGCGTTAAAAAGGGGAGGGAAGAATCAAAGCCATGCACAGTATAGCACCTGGGCCTTTATCTTTGCTCCCCCCCCTCCCAATTCCTCTCACCTGAGCTTAGCAGGATAAGTTCCGTCACTCTGCAGATTCTGATTGGGATGTGTTTCAGAGGGTGAAACCCATGCCTGGAGCAGCTTCTTCTTGCCAGAGGGATCCACTTTGGTACCCAAGCCCTCTGCTGTAGCTTTTTTCGTAGGCTCTGCTCTATTACAGCCAGAAGCATCAGATTGGAAAGAACTAATAGAGTGAGAAGAACTGGGCAGAGGGGAAAGATGAACAGGCTTAACAGAGAACTCAGGACTATCACCCTGTCTATTTTCTTTTGCGCTGTCAGCATTCTTCTGCTCCAATCCCTTTACATCATGGCTTGCATTTTCAAGGGCTCGTGCTGAAGGTGCAACCAATGGTTTGTTTAGTTCAAATCCATCACCAGGAGCACTTGTCTTCATGAGAAGCGATACAGTCTGCCTCTCACCAGTCGCCTTTTTATTTGCTGTCAGCTCTCCCCCCTCAATGGAGGACCGTAACTCTGAGGAAACATCTCTACTCCTGGACAAATCTCCAGAAACTGCAATCTTTTCAGTACCCTGGGGATAATCACTCAGCTGCTCATCATCTGATCCCACTTCTGGAATAACAGAAAGGGTGGTGGGTTTTACATTCAGATCTCCAGGGATCAAACTGCTAGGCTGTGTGCTTGTTGCGTAGTGAGGGAGATCGGTACTAATACTTTGAGAGGAATCCATGGCTCCACCATCTCTTCCAGAACTAAGTATATTGGATACTGAAGTTGCTAACGAGCTATCGCTTGTTAGTTTTTCACTAGAGATGAAAGAATTTTCTGCAGAAAATTCTTTATATGTAGAGGCAGAGCTTGACCCATTTTCTGTTTCTGATTCATCCATCCAAGAAACAGATACACTCTTTTTTTGTTTTAGGGCACTTCTTGGTGCTGGCTTTGGGGGCTCAGAGAGAGAACTGCTACCCAACACAGTCCTCGGCATGTTAGGCAAAGGCACGAGAATTCTCGGAGTTGGAACCGGTGGCTCTACTTTAACTGAGAACCCGGCTTCAGCCTGTCTTTCCAAAGGACCCTCACTGTTATGAAGAGATTGTACGTTTCCATTACGGGGCTCAGGTGCAGCACAATGTTCTACATATAGTTCAGGGCTTCGCCCCTCATTCCTTTCAGTGGGATTTATTGAAATCTTGTTTTCATCATGCCAGCTCTCAACTGAATCTTCACCATCTGAAGCATCGTCGCCACTACTCCCCACATTTTCATCCTCAAGGGCAAAGGTTACCGACTTCTTTATGCTCCCTCGGTTTTCCTTAAATGGTGGCACTATGTGCACTTTGTCATCGCCCTGAGACTTCAGGATGAGTCCAACCCTATCATAAAACCGTGAAGGGTGACTGCCAGCTAGAGATCCAGGAAAAGTGGATACAGGATCTATCTGATTAGTTAAACCTTCCTTTTGGGGCTTCTCTGAAGACACAACATGAACATGCTTGGAATCATCAAGGTTTCCTGCTAAGGAGGAAGTAGAGAAAGATGCTGGAGGACTGTTAAAACTTTCAGAGTCCTCTCCTACTTTAGACACGGGAGGATTATCAATATCAGAAAGCTGAAAAGCAGAAGGATCCAACTCAAGAACAGAAGTTGCAGGAACAGGCAGGGGAGACTTAGCAGAGTTTGAAGAATCCTCTATCTGGGTTTCTTGTTCCCTTTTAGGAGCAAATGGTTTATTTTCATTTCCAGAAGCAGCAGAAGTATCTTGCTTGGATTTCTGTCCCCATTTTATAGTGAACGGATTGTTGTCACTAGCAAACCTATCAGTGTCCCGAGGTTGCTCTTCTGGATCAAATTTAGAGATAAAAGGGTTGTTTTTATTAGAGTGATAGGAAGGAGAGAAAAGAGAAGCAGAAGGAGGTGCAGAAATAGCAGAAGTGGCTTTGGTTTCATCCTCTGAAGACACGCCCAGTCTGTAAAAAGGGACAAAATAAAACCTGCATGTCAGTTGCAGATGCAACGTAAGACAGGCAGAAACATTTTGAAGACAAGTTTAACAAGGCTGCTGCATGTTAAGTGAATAGGAAAGGTGTAGGGCTTTAGCAAACCACCCCCTTCATATTATAATTTACCTTTTAACAGCAGCAAATGCTTATAAAAGAAAACAACACGTTGCCTGAATGAAAGTATTTTGTACATTTAAAAAAGTCTATCAGTAACATCTCTTTTCAGTGGAACACCTTTTTAATCCCAATTACATTATAGTATTATCAAAGTATTAGTAGTACAGTGAAATATACAAAGCACCAAGCAAATGGGAGTTAGGCAGGAAAAAGAGTGGCGCCTCTGTGACACACAGCTTCCATGCAAAAGCAACGTTTTATCCAAAGGTTGCATTCCACCAAGCCATAAAAATTGCATTTTAGATTGCTGAAAGGTGCAAAATTTAATCATTTTGCAGGAGCTGAACAGAAACAAGGTCACCCAACAATGTTAAAAGAATGTTGTTTCACTAGTCAAAACTGTAAAGAAAGAGATGTAAGTTTAAAGTTAGAGCAATAGGGAGCAATTCTCCCACATGCACCAGTCTCAGTAACATAAAAACAAAGCCAAGTCACTAATGGTGTTCACAGCACTTATATACATGTCTGAATATTTAAATATCAACTTATGAACAAATACACCACAAGATCACGTAATCAGCTAATATGTGGCAGCCTTAAATATTCAAGGGCTTAGGAGGTAACCCATTTTGATTCACTTTTCTGAGTCTTTCCTGCTCCATCTCAGTATTCCTCCCACCTCTACTTTCAGACGACAGAAGAGAGATAATATCACACCCCTCCCCAACTCAAGCAAGAAGGAACCACGAAGGACAACTGCCAGTAGCACTGGCTGTTTCTTCACGAAAGACAGCTGTTCTCTTTTTCCTTCCTGATTTAGAACTAATGCTTTAAGTCTGGGAGGGCTAAAGAACTTCAGGCCTTGGCCCACCTACATGACATTGATACAAAGACTTTAACCCATAATTGTGTTTTAAAATTCCTCCTTGCCACAAAGAGCAGCAGCTAGCTAGTTACACCAGTTTTCTGGGTCAGACAAGCCCAATACGTTGGCTGGACTAACCACCGTCTTTTCCTCTCCTCAGCAAAAAAAGATAAGACATAAAAAGATGAGTGAAAACTAGCTCAGCTGCATTTGACCAGCTGGGCAAACACAACAAAGCTAGTGCCTGCCTTTGTTTCGATTCCTCTCCCTGTAAGATAGACAGTGGGGAGAAGAGATAGAAAGGATCAAGTTCAGCCAGCTTGGATACATTCTCTGCTAGACAGCATTCCATCCTGGAGGCAGAAGAGGGACTGACTCGCTCTCTTTGCCCTCCCCTTGCAAGAAAGTGGATCATCTTTGTTCTGAAGGCAGCATGCATTGCCATTTCTCTCCTTTCAAGAAGGCTAGAGACAGAAACCCTACGAATTACCTGCAGAGTTAGTAATCAACTGAAACCTACACAGGGCATGCCTGCCCTATCAGGAGGAAAGTTCTTACTCACCCTGTAAAGTAGATATTTTCTATGACATACAATGAAAACCACTGGGTGGCAATAGCCTTAAAGCATCTCAAGATCTCAAAATTCAATTGAAAAGATCATTTCTCAAGACTAACCTGGGTTTGACGGGTTTGGTCTGAGATGGTTTCACAGAAGCTGAGTTTTTTTCTGGCTTCTCTTCTGCTGAGATGTTTTCGTCAAAAGGGTTCAAGGATGTCTTTGTGATTCGGAGATCCGCAGTGCCGCTCTTATCTGAGCTATGACCTCTTCTGTTATCCACAGGGACTTCAAAAGGATTTGCTTCTTTCTTGGCCAACTCTTTTTCATTACGTTTTACTTCCTTCACCTTCGGAGTGGTGTCTGCGTTGCTCTCTACTTCCTCACTAACTTTAGCTTCTTTTTTCCCTGTCATAAGAGACAGCAAGCCAGATTTCTTGTTCTCCTGCTTTTTGTTCTCTTTGGTTTCTTTTGGAGTGTCTGAAATAACTGGAGTGTTGCTTTCTGGCATATCCCCAGCACTCAGCAACTTGTATGATGGTAGAGTCATGGCTTTAAAGGACTCCAGTGAAGAAGACCCTGGTGGTCCTTTGTCAGAAGGTAGTCTTCCTGTCATTTCAGGTTCCTTACTGGGTTCAGAAGATAAGTTCTCCTGGGACAAAAAGAGCCGTTTTCGCTGGGATATCTGAGGGGAAGATTGAGTGCTGTCTTTTGGAAGAGTATCACTTTTGGGGTCACGCTCCTCCATGTAAACATGACTGCCATTGATACACACATTGGACCGGGAAGTGGGGTCACTTTTGGACTTCAGTCCACCAAATAAAGAATGTACATCCTTCTTGGTGTTACTGGAGGAGATTTGGTTTAGTTGCTTGTTATCTGCACTACCTGTTCTCTTATGAGACTTGGTGGAAGGTGGATAAAGCAGGTTATCTTCATTTGCGGAGGGTTCTGAAAAGAAAGAAATCAGCATCAGAATAGTGAAAGAACAAGTCCCAATACTATTGAAAATACTAATACCTAATCCAGCCCTAGATCAACTGATGGCTCTTAACAACAGCAGTACACTGAGGTTGGGGACCACTGAGACCCACCTGCATCCTACTCATTTACAACTATTAGGCACAATCATGAAAACACTTCTGTTTCTTCACAGCTTCCAAGCACTGTCTTTAAATAATACAAGAAGTCCAGCTTCAACTATTATGAAGAAATGGCACATTTTACTACTTAGCACACTTTGTAAATTACACAACTGTTAAAACATATGAGAAATTTATTCTCTTTTCAATAGACAATACTTACTCTCTGAAACAGGAGTTAAAGTGTCATCATCACTATCACTCCACCGCGATGAAAAGTCACTGGGATTAAGTCGAACTCTCTCTGTAACCGGTTGGAGAGAAGGTAACACAGACATGGACTGAGAGAGGTTGCTTTTCTGTAAACCAGGTTTGGAGAATAAGGTCTTGAACTTTGATTTTTTCTTTTCTTTCTCATTTGACTCTTCCTCACTGTCAGCCGGGGAGTGACTAATGCTAGGAACAATAGCTGAAGCTGTGTCTGGCAATCCATTGCCTCGTTTCCCCTTTAGCTTGTCTTTCAGCTTGCCAAATGGTGTCCGTGACTTATCTTTCATGGACAGATCAAACATGCTGGCTGTCATGTTGCTCCTCATGAATTGGATATCCACCTCAATCTCACCTCTCTCTTTTTCCTTCTTTCCTGGTTTGGAGTGAAGCTTGTACCATCTGTATAAATAAAGAACAGCAAAGGTTCAGCATCAGGGGCTTAAATATTTCCTACCCACCCTTTTCCCACAAGGTCTCAGGGTGCGTTACGTATAAAATAGTTAATTTTCAGTTCAAGCTAAACAGAGTCAGCTTCTCCATGTAAGCAAAATGCCAGATAGGTCTGTAGACTGATATTAGTGGCATTTAGCCAGCAAAGTCCATTTTCGTAAAAGAAAGAAAAAAGAAAAAGTAAAGGGGAAGAGCAAGAGAAGAGAACAAATAGCCTATTTTAAAAGGAGAACATGCTGTTATGAAATAATTTATCCATATTACCACATGAGTCTCAGAAATAGTTACTCTGGAAGCATCATGCAAAGATTTCTAAAATGCTAAGGACGTCACTCCTGGAACAGAGGGTCTTTACAGATCTGTGGTAAGAAACTGGTAGCCGGCATGCTACCAGTATGTTGGGCATTTTCCCAAGATGTCTAGAAAAAGTTTGTTTTCTCATCCAAGTGAATATTCACAGACCTACTAACACAGGCATAGGCAAACTCAGCCCTCCAGATGTTTTGGGACTACAACTCCCATCATCCCTCACCACTGGTCCTGTTAGCTAGGAATGATGGGAGCTGTCATCCCAAAACATCTGGAGAGCCGTTTGCCTATGCCTGTACTAACAGAAGATATAATTACAGCTAACTCGCATCTTATGCAGTGGTTACATTCCTGGCCATTGCACATAAAAGCAAAATCGCGTAGAGCCAGGAACCCTCAGAACCAGGTGTCGCGCTTACCTGGTTCTCGGCAGGCAGCCCGAGGGCTCTAGGATGTTGCTCTGTAATGTTTCCTCCACTCTCCATTTATTTGTTTGTTCTGCTCCACCCCCTGGCCCAAATCAGCAATCACGTAGGTAAAATAAACATTGCGAGTTACCTATATTTCAATTTCACCTTTTCTGTCACAGGACTTCAAAGCTAGATTAAGTGTGTCATGTGTCACATATTTACAGACTTTGTCTAGAGCTTCATGGTTCTCAGTTAAGTCCTTGGAAGTGTGGTTCAATAAAGGGGATTACAATCATGTAATAATTATAAGCAAAAAAAACAAGTGTTTCTCCAGAATTGCTTTCTGGGGCCTCCCCCAGAGGAACAATGAGAACCATGCCAGGAAAGGGTTGATTTTGTACTGTAAATTTATCCATTGTTCAGGGCAATGGGTTCCCCCAAATATTCATATAATTTTGCAGCAAGACACAGGAAAGGCTCTGCTACTAAGCTGAGTCCCATGATCGCTTAACAGCTCCACCTGACCTGTGCTGTTATGCTCTGGTATCATGCAACATCAGCAGGCCTTACTAGTTCATGAGTTATGGTATAACAGCTCCACAGCATGACCTTGTCCATTGCCAAACAGCTTCCTCTCCATTTAAGGTTATGCCATGAAGACATCTGCATAAAAGGTATCAACAGTCAGAGGAACTCTGTTTCTGCACTAAAACCCAAGATGCATGCCATCTTAGATTGTCTAACCTTTTTACTCCCTGAAAGGCACAACATGAACCAAGACAAATTCTGCAGAACAGTCTTGAACGGAGCTGGATACAGGAGAGGATACAGAGCTAGAAAGAGAGAAAACGAGAAAGTCATTACCAGGAAAGTTTTAGAACAGAAACAGCAGCTTATGTACAAAAGCATGCAATTTCTCCCAAAATATGGAATTTTCTGACAATATTTTCAGGAAATTGCATGCCTTAAAAGCATACATATCAAAACAGGAAAGGAAACAAAAGAGAAGAACTAGAGGAGGTAAAGCACTAGAACACAAGTGAGTGATTTTCTATATTCACATTTTAAAAGCTCATCATTTGGCCTAATTTCCTAAAACAGCGGATAACATGGTGAAACTATTTCTAGGCAAACTACAGGAAGTTATTGCATGGCTACAAGATTACCCTTAAAAAAACAAAACAAAAGCACATACAGTACTACCACATCAGGGAAAAGGCCTGTCAGAAATAATCTCATTGACATCTAATTCTTTCAGCACAGTGACATGTTTCTGTTTTACGAATAAGCATCCAGTCTTGAGATCTAGCAACAGTTTCATCCAAATTTCAGATCTCCCTGCCTTCAGACGAAAAAATATTAACTGGTCTGAATTGCATCTTTGCATTGTCTGTCCACATGTTAAGGGTGCGGTGTTGATTAGTGAGCTACCTCTTAATTGATAGATTCCGACATAAACCTTGAAGCCCCAATTTTCATCTGTAAAACTAATAAAGTGCTTCAACTCTGACTTGTGCTGTTTATTCTAACAATAAAGTGTTATGAACAAGACATTTGTTTCTAACATACTTTGAATACTTATCATGGCTGTATAAAGCAGTCAAGACTGCCAAAGTAAACTTGGTAAGCCTGCTGGACTTGTTACGTTAAATATTTGAGTATGAGAGCTGCCATTATTCACAGTAAGACACTTTTAAAAGAGTTCTTTACAAACACTGTTTTTGTAATACACTGTGACTTACAGTTTTAAAAACTAGGATGTTTAGCTCATTCTAAAAATATATTTGCCAAACAGAAGGGTATTATGCATTCTTACGAAATGTTGCTTTTTGTACTCTTAACACAGATAGCCAAGAATCAAGGTGCACATACACATTTTAAGGGCAGGGTTTGTTCTACAATAGCTATGGAAGCAGGCATCAGTGGAAAATTACTATACCACATTATTTATTTTATCAGTATTTATATTTGAATCTATTGCTCTTCAGATGTGAAACTCAAATATCATTGCTGACCAATAGAGCTATGTCCACAACAGCTCACCTGACAGTACTAGATAAATTGCTTGAATAGCACAATGTGGCTAAAAAGCTACCTAGGAACCTGGATTGAATATTGCTTTTGTAATGAACTCACAAAGTGGTTATATTACACAAGTCAGGATGGGAATAATACTAATCTGCATTACAGGCTTGTTTGTAAAGAACAACAAGAAAGTGTACATGAGGCTATTTAAACTATATAAAAATGCTAAGCAGATTTTTTTTAATTCTTACTCACTGGTTTAAACCTTATAAGATTTAGTCACTGAGAATACAACTCTTTAAGTAAAAGCAAGCAACATAAAATGGCACAATATGAAGCATAACTGGGTAGGTGTGAAATCCCAAGGGCTATCAACCTATTAAAGAAAACTTAACTGATCATGAGTTTTAGTCAATTTAGTCTAACACCCTAAGGAAGTTAGATTAGCCTCAACCAGAGCCAGGGCCTTCTCAACACTGGCTCCGGCCTGGTGGAATGCTCAGTCTAATGAGACCAGGGCCCTGCGGGATCTGATTTCTTTCCGCAGGCCCTTTAAGACAGAGTTGTTCCACCTGGCCTTTGGCTTAGAATCCGTTTGATTCCCTCCCCCTCTTTCTTTTTCCTTTCTCCTCCTGTGAAGAAGCTGCATCCTAATGTTTTAATGTTATATCTTAATCTTTTAAATTGTATTTTAATCAACTTGTTTTTATTATTGGTTGTTAGCCGCCCTGAGCCCAGTCTTTGCTGGGGAGGGCAGGGTATATATATAAAAAATATTATTATTATTAGTCATGCTGGCCACATGACCCGGAAAAACTGTCAGCAGACAACGCCGCTTTCCTGGGCCTGTAAAGCGAGATGAGCGCCGCAACCCCAGAGTCATCCATGACTGGACTTAACTGTCAGGGGTCGTTTACCTTTTTTATTTTTTAAACTAGTGTTAGAAACTCAGATATATAAGCCAGTCACCAAATGGCACAATAAACCTTGGTTACAGTTGCCACAAAGGAATGTCTAGGCACCTTTTTTGTAGTGGGATGATTGATTGATTGATTGATTGATTGATATATTATTACAGTGGTGCCTCGCAAGACGAAATTAATTCATTCTGCGAGTTTTTTCGTCTTGCGGTTTTTTTCGTCTTGCGAGGCACGGTGTCGGAAAAGTTTTGGAAAAGCTTCAAAAATCACCAAAGTCTTCAAAAACCTCAAAAAGGCTACAACACCAGCGTGCTATGAGTTGCTCCTCGAAGTCAAGTCGCAACTGTATTAACGGTTTTAAGAAAAAGGAAACAAACTTGCAAGACGTTTCCGTCTTGTGAAGCAAGCCCATAGGGAAAATCGTCTTGAGAAGCAACTCAAAAAACCAAAAACCCTTTCGTTTTGCGAGTTTTCCGTCTTGCGAGGCATTCGTCTTGCGAGGTACCACTGTATTATTATTATTATTGTAAAAGTACAATACAACATCTCAATACAAAAGTATGGGGAGGGGATGTTTTCTACAAACAATGGCCAGCTATATATGGGGAAATATGTTATAAAAGTTGTATAGCAGTGCTAAGGAAGTGCCCTGAATATCCTGGCCAATACTCCTTTGAGTGGGTGGTGTGGGTTTCATTCCTCTTGGATCTAGCCTCGGTTCTTTAGAGTATTTCTTTGAAATAGGGAAGTGTCAAGTCCTAGTAACCTCACCACTCCTACCTTGTCCCATGATGTTTGTTTAGTGTTTATTTCCCTTTTCTCTCACTTCCTCCTCACTATTAATTGCCATCCAGTTAGTATTTTGACTGGAGGAGTAATCAGAAAGAGTCCAATTTATCAAATTCCGCTGTGGTGCTAACAGTTAGTTTCTAGCCTTGATTCAGCCAATCCCTTTTTCCATATCAAACTGAGTTAATATTTTATAGAACAAGACCCAATAACCTCCAAAATATAAAAGTGTTAAATTCTAACCAGCTTTTTATTTTATTTCACTGAATCCTGGTAACCAACATCTCTAAAGAGCACCCACTGCTCAGTCCGCTGCAAACCAAGATTTAAGGAGAAGACAAAGATGCCAACATTTAGGGGATTCACGATTATAGAGCCTCCTAAACTAGGGTCCATCTTCCAAAGGAATTAACTAAATTTGTATCAGCTACTCGCCTTGACAACTTAATGGAACTTCCATGTTCACAAGCATTAATACCACTGAATATCAGTTGCCAAGGCAGCAAACTGAGGAAGAACTGGCGGTTCCACACCCTGCTTGCATGTTTCCTGGATGCATTGAGATAACCACTATCTAGAGCAGGATACAAATTATTTTATTTAATAGATGTTTATTCTTCCCTTTAGCTAAAAGTAGGTTGTTAGGGAAGTTTACAACAATGGAATAAAATTAAGTATGCCAACTACCATGATCCAGCAGGACTCTGCTCAGGAAAGCTATCAACAGGATACTTTACAAGTTCTTCAAAGCTTGCTTGCTTGTTTAATAGCCCACCTTCTTCTCCAAAGGGCTCAAGATGGCATACGTGATTCTACCCCTCCTCATTTAATCCCCATAACAACCCTATGTTAGACTGAGAGCCAAGGTCAGTCAGTGAGCTTCATGGCTGAGCGGTCACTTGAACCATGGTCTCCTAGGTCCTAGTCTGGCACTAACCTTTACACCACACCAACTCTTTATATTATGGTGTAGCACATTATACTGCTGTTTATTTCAAGTTTTAATAAAGTGTTTTTAAAAGTTTGATCCCGCCTCTGCTTGCAATGTTTGCTTATTGCATTTTTGCCCCACCCTTACTTCAAATAACTATGTATGAGTGACATACATAGTTCTCATTTCCCCATCCCATTTCATTCTCACAACAACCCTTGAGATTGATTAGACTGAGTGTGACTCGCCCGTGGTCTCCCTGTAAACTCTATGGACAACAGTGGAATCTTTGCTAAAAGTGGCATTTTTATTCCATGATCCATCCTGTTAAGAGCTTAGCTTTTGCTGCTGTCAGATAAACAGCTGAGATGAATAATTATCATGCAGCGTGCTGTTTGACACCTGTTTGGACATGTGGACCGTGAGCCTCTGACATACATAGGTAAATTGCCTCTGAACCTGGAAATGCCATTTAGTCAGCAGGAAGTCAACATCTTCAAACAGAACTATAGAGTAGTAAGGGACCTTGGATGTCATCTAGTCCAGTGCCCAACGGATTCAGTGCAGGAATCTTGCAAATACACAGCTTCCTAAGCAAACGGGCATCTAGCCATTGCTTACAAACCTTCATAGGAGGAGATCCCACCACTTCCCAAGGCCGTCTGATCCGCCTTTGAACTACTCATACACTTAAGAAGTTTCTCCTAACGTAAAGTCAAAACCATCTTACTTAAAAGTTTTCAGTCATTGCATTTACATCTGTCATCTGGAGTAACATAGAACAAATCTGCTCCACCTTCTGCATCACAGTCTTTCTCCTCCTTAAAATGCAGCAACTGGAACTCGACAAAGTACTACATATATGATCATACTAATTGATGCTATTCTTTAGTCACATATCTGGCACACACAACAAGTGCACCAGGAAAGGAAGCCACCAGATGCACAACAGGTAAAAAAAATATATTATTGTGCCCAACAAGTTTCAACCCAGAACTGGAGCATAGAATTGAAATTAATTTTTTCAAGAGTGCCACTGAGGAGTGAATATAGTGATACTACTTATGTTGCCAAAATTACAATCCATTAATATACAAAACACTGATCAACAAACGAGTAATTGAAATCGTCATATTTAAGTCGGATTTCACCTGTCAAAGCGTCTATCTCCCCGTTTGTGTTCCTATTGATCACATTACCTTTTACAAAACCGATTGACCAGAGTCGAAAGGCGGCAAAACTAGATTTTGGCCCATCTTAGCTGGGAAGGTGTGCGGCCAAGAACAGAAGCAAACTTCGGGGGGTTGGGTGCGCGGCGGGATGTGACACCTTCAGAAATACCTAATTTGGCCGCATATCAAGAGGAAGCCCAATGAACCCGGCTAATCCTACACTGACCACAACACTCTGGCGCATTTCCTCTCTCTCCTTCGAAGTTAAAGCATGCCCTTATCCGCATTCCTTCAGAAGTCCTGCTATGACTCCCTAAATAAAGAAGGAGCGAAAATCAGATGCAACGGGTCATATTTAGGAGATCTCTCTGCGCAGCGCCTGGCACCAGCCCCCTCCCTCCCTCCCTCCGCGCATGCGCCCCGCGCCTCAGCAGGTAGACTGCCCCTGGCAGCGGGAGCTCCACGGGAGGCCCCTCGCTCGCTCGCTCGCTCTCCCCTCACCGTGTGCTTCGGCGGCCGCCCTCGGAGTGCAGCTCGGCCAGGCTGATCTCGGCGCGGCCCAGGAACTTGTCGAGGCCGAGCAGGGCGCGGTGGAGGACGGTGAGCTGCAGCACGGCCGTGGGCCCGGCCGAGAGCGGAGGCCCCCCCGCCGACAGGCTCCTCCGGGGCGGCGGCGGCAGCTCGAAGGTGGCCTCCTCCCGCCACACGGGAGAGCCCAGGCAGCGCTCGGCCACCGACGTGGCGAACTTCTCCTTGCCCAGCGCCATCACCGCGTACGCGTCGCTCCCGCCGCCGCCGCCGCCGCCGCCCTTGGCCTTGGAGCGAAGCCCCCGCGCCTGGAGCACCGTCACCTGGACGTGGGTCGGGGCCCAGCGGGGCCCCAGAGACGACGGAGAGCCTGGGGCCGACATTTCTTCGTCGTCCGCCTGACACCCGCTCTCTGCCGCTGCCCGGGAAGGACTGAGCGGCTTCCCTCAGGTGAGGCGGTGAGGAACCCCACCCCAAGTCTCGCGAGAGCTTCGGCGCCCCGCCCCGCCTCTTTTCCCCCGTTCGCGGGGCTTTGGACTACAGCTCCCATAATCCTTTGGGTCCGGGCGCACTGGGCGCTGGAATCTTGCAGGTAAATTGCAGGTCCAGTTTTCCCTTAAACTCAGTGATCTCTATATTTCCATGTTAAGGTGACTCGTGAGTCTTCCTTCCCATTTCAGGGTTTTCTCCCCAATAAAAAATATATATTTTCCGAAACAATTATAAACTGTGGGCAATAATACCTGGGCGCGAGTTTAGTTATATGCAGACTGCAGAAGAATGTCTTTGCGAGCATATTCGTAAAAAGGCATGAATGGTGAATATAGCCGCTCCACAGACAAACGGAAGCAGCTGATGGGAGATCATTGTTATATTCCTCCTTTGCATATGAAAAGAAAGGAGGCTAGTTTTAAACAAAGGCATCTTTTTAAAAAGCAACAGGTTCAAAGGGGATAAGGACCCTCTTGAAAACTGATACACTTCAGACGTTGGATCCGAGATATCGAATGCCTAACCTCTTGTCGTATAAAAGAGGAAGTTCCTACCTGTGCTTCCCAGGGGGTACTCAAGTGTACGCAGTACCGGCACGTCTTTTCGTTGTTGCTAAAAAGTGTCGCACTTACTGTAACTTCATGGTGAGTACTGGGCACCTATTTTTCAAGGGAAAAAAAACCAATGGTTCTTACTATTAAATCTGCAAAAGCCCTAACCTCTTTATCTGCTTTTTAAACTTCACTGCCCCAGCAACTTGAAAAAAAAAAAAGACTGTTAGGGAATTTAGTTATTTATTTTATTTCCCAGCATTTATATCTCACTTGATAGTAATAAAACCTCAGAGCTGTTTATAAAAAGAATAATGATCCTTCTTAGGACTTGAGTTCTAAATAGATCTCAAATTCTAGGCTGGGGAACAACTGCTACAACAAAACTCATGCCCCCAAGATACAGAACCCCTAAAGCAGGAGTCGGGCACCTCAGGGCAAGGGGGGTGGAGGAGAATGTGGCCCTCAAAGCCTTTCTGTCTGGCCCTAAGGGCTCTCTGCAGGCCACACTCCTCACTTGGACCTGCCTTGAACTTGCCTTGAGTGCTTTTGCCTGGCTGGAATATGTCCTTGAACATTGATAAATCCTTGGTTGCCTGACTGGAAGATGGAGAGGTGTGTGTAGAAATTAGCCTACAGGACTAAGGCAAATTTTACATTTCCTGCTCCTCCCATAGGACCCTTGGAAGGTTGCCAGAAAGGACAGAATGAGGCCCTCAGGCTAGAAAAGCTCCCCACCCCTGCCCTAAGGACGGGGATAATCCCACTGCAAGGAATCCCTGCTGAACACCCTTGTATTATTAACACACAGACAAACTTGAGAGAAAGAGAGAATTACTGTTGTCAGTTAACCCTTGAAGAATTATGATATCATCCAAGCCTGAAAATCCATACTGCTTCATTTTAAAAAGTACCTTATAACAGCAGCCCACAGAAATCAAGCATGAAGCTTTTTCCTGGAGATATCATAAAGTAATGGGGAACAATTTGCCTGCTTAACTGTGGTGTGTCAGGCTGCTATCGATAGGCGCAGGAGCAGGGCTATTTATTTATTTTAACTAGCCTAAGTGTCAAGCTGAAATACAGATGGTGAAGCTGTTCTGATTGCTCCTTGATGCTGGGAAATGGTGTCTGTTGAATTTCTGCCCGTGCTTTTCCAGGTAAGTCAGAGGGGAAAGGGTGACATCATTTCCTAGATTAGAACATTCAGACTAAGATTAAGAGCTAGCTCTGAGTTCATTCTATACATACTAGTGAATTAACTTGCCCAGACCCACATTGGGATTAGATAATAGTTGTTCCACCTCAAAGGGAGTAGCTTCCAGTTGTAGACAATTCTGAATGTATTGAACTTCTGGTTTTCCCCCGAAAAACAAATTAGACTCTATTTCGCATCACAACAATCTTTTAAAAATAAATAAACAGGTCCTGCTGGCATATTGTTTGGCTGCTCCACAACTGAGCAGGTGACAAGGCTTTTATTCTTTGTTTGTGTACTAAATTTAAACCTTAGACTAAAGCTTACCTGGCAGCTATGTTTATTTGGCTGACATGATGGAATCCAGTTTGGGAACCAGAAGTTCTCACCTTTTCTTATGTAATAGAAATGCAGGCATTTTTGCCATCCAAGGGATTTAGTAGGATTACGGTGGGGGGGGGGGCTATGTGTGCAGAATCACACTCTATATTGATTAATTAAACCATACTTGTTGAAACTAACATTGGACCTGTTATAATATCACTCTGCCCGACTTCTATATAAAAATGTATTACATGTGAAAACCTTATCTCAATATTTCATGCCTGAGAAGCTTTTTCAGTTGAATACTTAGTTATTTATAGATGGGACTGTTCTGTTGCTTGCTTATGTTGCAAGACAGATACAGCATAGCACAAAGCTGAACGCAGCACATTCTTCAGCTGAGTGGAATTTCCTTCTCTGGATTGCTAGGATGGAGATGTAGGGTTTTGGAAGAAGGTGCTCCCTGGATGTGATTTATTCACAAAGTAACATTAAAGCAGGGACGCGGGTGGCGCTGTGGGTTAAACCACAGAGCCTAGGATTTGCTGATCAGAAGATCGGCGGTTCAAATCCCCGCAACGGGGTGAGCTCCTGTTGCTCAGTCCCTGCTCCTGCCAACCTAGCAGTTCGAAAGCACACCAAAGTGCAAGTAGATAAATAGGTACTGCTCCGGCAGGAAGGTAAATGGCGTTTCCGTGCGTTGCTCTGGTTCGCCAGAAGCGACTTAGTCATGCTGGCCACATGACCCGGAAGCTGTACGCCGGCTCCCTCGGCCAATAAAGCGAGATGAGCGCCGCAACCCCAGAGTCGGCCACGACTGGACCTAATGGTCAGGGGTCCCTTTACCTTTACCTTAACATTAAAGCAAGGCATCTGTGAACTGCATGCAATCCTGAGTCTATCAATCCTGATTTCATGTGGCTTTAATGTCATGCAGCCTCCAGAAAGAATTTTAGAAGAGGCCTACTCGATCAGGCAAAAGGTCTATCTGTTCCATCATCTTGTTGTCACAGTGGCCAGCCAGATACCTATGAGAAGCCCACAAGCGCAACAGTGCTCTCCCTTTCTGTGATTCCCAACAACTGCTATTCAAAGGCATACTGCCTCCCAACAGTGTAGGCAAAGCATAGCCCATTGTGGCTGATAGACAGTGAAAGCCTTATCCTGTATGCTTTTATCAAGAGGATGCAGCAGTTCGCTTATGAGGAAAGGTTGCAACCTTTGGAGCTTTTTCAGTTTAGAGAAAAAAGCATGTTAAGAGAAGATACTGTATAACAGATGCATGTTATGGAGACAGCGGATAGAGAAAGGTTTTTCTCCCTCTCCCATAGCACTTGTTGACATCCAAAGAAGCTGAATGCTGGGAGTTTCAGGACAGACCAAAGAAAGTACTTCTTCCCACTGTGCATAGTTAAACTATGGAATGCATTTCCACAGGAAGTAATGATGGCCTTAGAAGAGCACTTTACATTTTATTGTCATTTTCATGAACAAATGGATTCTCATGCACACTTCCCCCTAATATACAGTACATATTTTTGGTTGAAGGACTGCATCTTTAAGAGCTTGAGCTTGCTTTCCTCTCCTTCCTTTCATTTCATTTTCCTTGTGTGTCATGTCTTATCAGCCCGAGGGTAGGGTCCGTCTCAGAATTCAATTTTGTAAGTTGCCCAGAGAGCCTTTTTTTCATTTTCTAAAGGGTGGGGCAGAAATTCTGTAAATAAAGAAGTGCATGACAAAATTCAGTAAAGAGCAACTTTCTAAGGACACCTGTGTGCTAGTTTACATCCTGTTTCAGGAAGTGTGAATTAGGTCGGTTCACATCAAAATGCAGACTGCTCCAAATCACTCATCCACCAAATCACTCATCCACTCATCCCAGCCTTAGGTGTCACAAGTATTTTGGGGGGTTGGTTTGCTTAAAATAACAATTGAGCTAAAACACTTTTTCTTTGATCAGTGTTGGGAAGGATGTAGAGGAGCACTTGTTTATTGGAGCACGTGCTGCTTAACTTCCAGCCTTGTCCTAAGATCGGTTGCCAACAACAATCTCTACTCTCCCGTGGGCGGTGTATGTGTTGTCAAATTTCCAAGTTTTGTCCAAAGGAAAACAGCGAACATGGGCGGTATATGTTGTAAAGGACAATGAGCATCAATAGCTTCTCTCCCCCACCCACCCAATTGTGTTGCTGATAATTTAGCACCAGGCGGTCCTGTTCTTTCTAGACAAACCAGGGAAAGAGCAGGTAGGTGGAAAGTGTGCCGCAGAGTTTCGGTGTTTGTTGGCTCATGGCTCTGATACGCTTTCGAAGGGTGTGGTGCTCCTTGACTCAAGAATGAGGATAGTTACTCATTTGCACATGGGTTAGTGAACAGTGATCTCACCTGTTTCGCATCCCTCCTGGCAGGTGCCCAGTGAAAGCCTTCTGTGCCCTGTGCTCCTTGCATACAAATTATTAGACTTGTGCTGAACAGGGAGAGCCTGGAGCCAATGAGGTACACTGTATTACGGACAGGTTGCTGGACTTAAGCTGGTGTATTCACTTCCTGGACAGTGACTCTCAGGATGCAACTGCATGTCATCTCGGGAAGCCCATATACTGTGTTACAAACCTGTGTTCCCACACGTGGCACCTGTAAGGGAGAATCAGCAGGAGGGAGGAGTCCTTTAGCCCTCCCGAGCCTGCCAATTTTCCTCCGCAAAATGCCTCTCTGCTGTAATTTGTATTTGCAGGCAAGGATCAACCAGAGTGCTTGAACCACTCCTCTACCTGCCCAGGCTCATTTGAAATACACCTCAGATGTAATTTGTACTTGCTTAATTGCATGTGCTTAACCCCTACCACACCTGCCAACTCTCATTGTATTTGAACTTGAAGGGAAGAATTGCCAGAGGGAGCGCTTAACTCTTCTTGCTCCCGCCAACTCTCCCCCGCTTTGATGAAATGTCGGTTTCATAGCTCAGCCTGAGAGAAAACATTTTTAAGTGACATAGGGCAGGGTTGCGGAACCCATGCCTCCCCAGGGTAGTGTAGCAGGTGTAATGGGAGTTTATACCCAACAAAATATGGAGGCCCACAGATTCCATGCCCCCGACAAGGAACTACTCTATGAGAGAACCGAGAGGTGGGGGGAAGGAACAGGTTATTCTTCAACCTGCCAATACTCACCTGCAGTGCCTCCTCCACCCCCACCTCCAAATGGGTTTGCCTTATGAGAAAACCCAGAGGGCAAACTGGATTATGAGGGGGCAACCATACCTTTTTATTCACCTGCCTGTCCCAATCATATATAAAACAAGCTAAATGGTGTTGCCTGTGGTTGGCATAAAAAAAGAGTACATGACAAGGTGCCTGTCCTCTCTCAAGCATAGTCTGTTAACCTATTATTCTGCTGTATTCCAAAATCTTCTTAATCATTATTTTAAAACTGAAAAATCTGGAAATGCCTTTTTAATCATCACCATCATCACATCACCATCATCATAATGCAAAGAGTCTTGTGGCACTTGAAGGACAAACAGATGCATTACTGCAAAAGTCAAGGATAACTAATGGTGTCCTCCAGATGTT